TGCAAGCTTTAGAGAGCCAGGGCTGCATTTAAGTTGTCTTAACGACATGAGAGAGAGATTCCCGTAAAGATGGATATTTAATAAATGTGTTTTTTGATCTTGAAGAGGAAAAAGAAGAAAATCTGTCTCTTTTTCTTTATGGCTTCTCCCTCTAGTGTCTCACTTTCTATTAGATTTAACACTGGAGCTGGAAAATGAGCCCCGTCCCTTGAAGCAGTCCATCTCTGCTGATGACAATAAACCCGTGTGGTAATGATGGTTTTGCAATGGGTCCCTTCACAGGGGCTGCTCATTGCTGCTCAGAGGCAGGGAAGAAGCAGTCACTAGAGTGGGCAGACCTCAACATTATCCTAGTCTATACCCAGAGAGGAAAGGGGCTTGGCTCTTGGCTGCCCCATTTAGGAAGCTGCATCCGGGGTAACAGTGCATGAACATGCCCCTTTCTTGCCTTTTTGGCTCTGAAATGGCTCTTGAGTATCATGTCCTCTTTTTTCCAAGACTGTCGGTAACCCGTTGCAGAGGCAGTGACTAGTGTTGGCATTGCTGTAGAAGGGAACATCATGATGGGCAAAGCTTTAGACACTGACTGTCTTGAGGCCATGGGCATGCCAGAGTCTGTGTGAGTGTCCTCCTGTCCTCTTTGTGGTTTCCTGATGGCCAAACTCTTCAGGTGGCTGGAAGCTGGGCCATGCCAAAGAAGCAAGAAGCCTGCAGAGCAACGCTCCATGCCATTGCAGGAGGCATGCAGACTCGAGAGATGCACAGGGTAAGACTGATTCGCCAGGAAGCTTTCTCCCCAGCATTTCATCCAACAGCCTGTGTTAAGGCACCAGCAAGTGAGCCCCACATTGCTAAGGGCAATGGTCAGTTTCCAGTCACAGCAGCAACACTCACACCCCTTCCTTTGCATTCCCTCCTGTCTCTCTGACCGTGCCTTTAGGAGTCCTGTTTGCTGGTTCTTTCCCTTTACCCCAATCTCCAAACATCAGTAGGGCTAGGACTCAGTTCTGGGACCGCATCTCACTTCTGTCTACACTCACACCCCAGTGATCTCATCCAGAGATCCAGGGGATAAGTATCTTCTATATGTTGTTGACTCAAAATTACAGTTCAGCCACAGATCTCTCTCCTGGAGAGGTTCATTCGCTATTACATACTCAACATTTCCACTTGGATGTCTAATAGGCACTTCAAACTTCAGGGTCTGTGATGGCTTTCCTGATCCTCCTGCCCTGACACCCGTTCCTCTCCCAGACTCCCCCATATCCATAAATGATAATTCCACTCTTGGTATCATTTAGAACAATTGCCTTGGAAAATGCCTGACCTCTCTCTTTCACATCCCATATCTGATGCGTCTGCAAATGACATCATCCTGAAGTCTGACCTTATCACTTCCATGGGTGTCAAGACCAGGCCCAGCATCTCCTGAGGCAGCAGGCACCTGACGGGACCCCTGCCTCCCCCTGGCCCACCTTCACTCCATTCTGCACATGGCAGGCAGACGGACCCTGATCAGGGTCTGTCAGATCGTGTTGCTTCTCTGCTCAAACCCCTCCAGAGGCTCTTTGGCTCACTCCCAGTAAGAGCCAAGTTCTCACAACAGTTTATGTACTCTACTCCCTGGATCCCACAGCCTCACCTCACACCACTCACCCCCTTGCTCCCTCCTCTCCAGCTGCACAAGCCTCCTCAGCTCCGGATTCATCAGTGTGGCCCCCGTCTCATTGGCCCCTTCTTGCTAACCCCTAGAAGGCTATTTCCCAACTATCTGCAGGGTGCCTTTCCTTGCAGCCTCCAAGTCTTTATTCCAATGCTGCCTTCTCCGTGAGACATTCCTTGGCTGCCCCTCTGAAACCACAACCTCTCAACACTCTTCCCCCTTCACTGCTTCGCCCCTCTCTGGCGTGCTATTTAATTTACCATCTGTCTCTCTACTAGAATCTAAGTTCCACGAGGGCAGGGATTTTTGACTCCCGTGTTGACTGCTCTATCACCAGTGTCTACAACAGTGCCTGGCAGAGAGCAGACCTTTCATTTGTGAGTGGGTGGACTAATGAATGAATGAACTGGAACATATTTTTGCATATAACTTACTGGCCACTTCACTTACTCTAATATTTAGAGAAAAGCCTCCCAACTGCATGCTTTCTTTCTGTTGTCCTTCCAGCCCATTTCTTCTACTTCCTTGGTGGCTTTTGCAGCTTTCCCTAAGAAAACAGAATCCCTGGGCTCCCCTCAGGTATGCTGTGTGTCACCAAGCAGCTCCTGCGCTGCACCCAGCCCCACCTCCCTAGCCTCACACCACGGGAATACGGATGCTGCCCGGGGAGAAGCAGAGTCAATATAGCTGCTGATGAAGAGTGATCAGCCTTTTCTCTTAAAAGATGACTTAGCTTTTGAGCTGAAGAGAGTTGGCAAACATACCATACTGTAGTCTTTTAGAAGCTTCAAAGGCTAAGATATTACGGTAATTGAAACACACATGCTTCAAACGTAGCAGGATTTCTCCCCTTGTATTTGTTTCAAAGGGCAATCTACGAAATTCTCAAGACAGGAAGATAGTTTCTGAGCCACTGTCTTGCCTTTTTTGCAAGTGAATTAGGCCTCTGATTCCTTAATCATTTCATCACATCAATTCTACTTTTCATTGGACTTCCCCAACAGACGCAGTCCTTTGGATTCTCTTCCTGGCTCCATTCCTGTCTCTCACGTTCCACTTCATTGCATGTGTCTATCTTACTCTGTACACCTTGCTTTTTAAAATATTCATTCCCCTGCCTCATCCCCTGGAACCGTCCCACTAATTAGCATTTCCACTAACGAAGGAGCCAGGCTCCCATTCCAGTCCTCCTAGGACAAGAAGCAGACCCCCAGGGCTCCTCCAGCCGTAAGGGAGCAGTGCAAGGCAAGAAAAGCCAGTCTCCAGAGTCTAAGACCATCCGTATCTAGGCTTAGGAAAATCTTGGCGAGACTGTCTATTGGGGTAGGCAGCTCGTTACGCTCTTCTCCAAGTTTGTCAAGAAAGTTGGGTAGAGGGGCCTTGTCAATGTGATCTGCTCCAGCTGCAAAGAATACTCCACGCTGGGAACTCTCCTAGGAATTTATTCATTTAATGGGTTGGATGGAGAAGCCGCACACTCTCCCTTGGAAGCTCCTGCTTTAGGCAGAGAACAGTTCTTAGCTATGTTCTGTTATCTCAGTGAACAGCCGCTGGCTGCTAAGCATGTAGTGGCTATTGCAGGTTTTCAGTAACACACGCTACAGAAATGCTCATCACCATGAGTCACAAGGGAGGGCCAGTGCTCTGACTTAGGGTGGAGCCAGGAGCCAGCACACAAACTCCTGCATTTTAGAGGTATGCTTCTCCGTGGCTCACAGGCCAACTTGTTTATTTAGCATACCACTCAGTGCCACAAACGAATCCACTACTCCTCAGTTCCATCAACAGTGTAATAGAAGCCGTCAGGCATTTTTCCAGGAAGACCCTCAATGGCATCATGGCTCATTGTTATAACCCATCAAAGGCCCTGTATTCCAACTTGCAAAACCACTTAGCAGAGCACAAAGGCCTCCTTAGGTTACTAAATTATGTTGTTACCAGTCCCTTGTTGTTTGTGTGCTTTAAATTTGTATTTGCTCCTTGAGCAGTGTTATCAGAAAGGGAGCGGTTGATAGATTTATTAAATCCATCTTTAAAATGAGGGAGCAGAGATTCTGCTCCCGTGAACATCTTTGGCTGTCTTCGTCCCTTCTTCCTGCACCTGTTTCTGCTCCTGGCAGCTCTGCTCATCGTCCTCTCTGCTCAGGGTGAAGTTCCAGCTCCCTGCCTTTGTCGGCATGACTCCACGCAGCAAATGCCCTGGACGATTCTTTAACCTGTTTGCTTCCTGGACTACTCTAGATGCTCAGTGTTTAGGAAACTGTTTTTAAGTAAGGCTGCTTGAGAGGACAGAAATGCACCTATTCAAACATGTGTAGTGAAAGAGAAAGATATTGCACACAGAAAAAGAAAGAAAGAGTATGGTTAGAGTCACAGAGATCGAGACGAAATGAGATACAGAGAGTGGTCAGAGTTAACCCAAAGGTTCTCAAATTTACTATGCATCTTGATCACCTGGGGGAGTTGTCGAAACACAGATTCCTGGGCCCCATCCCCACAGTTTCTGGGTCAGTAGGTCTGGAGTGGGGCCCAAGAGTTTGCATTTCTAACAAGTTTCCAGGTAATGCTGATGCTGCTGGTCAGGGGCCACGCTTTCAGAACCACTGGGCTAATCTGATAAGAGCCTGAATTTTCATGATCCATCATTTTTTACATATTTGTGAGTCAATGCCATCCATCACTCTCATTTCTATCCCAGCCACAGCCTATCCAATAATGGGCCACGTGAACCCCTGAGGAAGGGATTTGGCTCAATTTCCATCACCTAGTTGGATTCTGCCAAATTCCTCTGGGCTTCCCCCAACACTCCCACTTAGCACTTCCCCAGGTCTTTGAAGCTAACCCCCTTAAGAAAACCTTTGGCTACCTTTCCTACGAGAAAGCTCAGCAGTGTCCGGAAATCTTCTGCAAAGAGGGGAAGGATACCTGAGCAGGTATAAAGTTTTCCAGGCAGCTGCTTGGCAGACATTGTTCCTTTCAAACAAGCCTGTGCTTTCAAATGGGAAGCCTGTGCCCTGGCCCTAAAAGGTGGAACTTGGAGGAGAAGGATCTCTGATTTTAAACAAGCCTCTGCCTTAGCAACATCTCAACTGTCTTTTAAGGTGAGATATTCTAAAAGGAGCATGAGGTTTTCTAGATCGACAGCTATGATTTCCCGCATGTGAGCGATGTCTGTGTGTGGCAAGACTGTGACTGCCATCAGTGAGATAAGTGCGGCTCCAGGAAGGTACACCGTGGGCTGCCAAGAAAGGGTGGCAGTCAAAGTTCTGTGTTGACCCCGATGTTGTTTCCTCTCCCCCAGAACCCAGCCCAAACACAGAAGAAGACGGCTGCTCACTGTTTCGGGGCTTCTCCTCATCCATGCCTTCGTCCTCGTTCTCGGGATCGATGTCTTCGGCCTGAGTGATCCAGTCCAGGTAGCCTTTGAGATCCTCTTCCAGCTGCTGCTTCTCCCGCAGCTTCTGGAAATCTCCCCGGGCCTTGGCCTTCTCCCTCTCTTTGGAAAACTCTCTGGTGAGAGTGAGAGGAGGGGCAGGGCAGGAGAGCACAGAGGAGGGAACACCGAGAAGGGTCGAGGATGGAAGGAGAGATGGAGATAAGGAGAAACAAGAGTCTTAATTGCTTTGCAGGGAGAAACCTGCCCACACGCCCCTACTTTCCACAGACAGATCCGCTAGCCAGCCTAGGTTTTGTCTACTCTCACCTCGATGGGAAGCGTCAGTAAGGGGACAATCCTGACACAGGCCAGAAGAGGCTTAAGGGGATGGATGAAGTCCATCTCCCTCTTTTCCTGGATCATGATCACAGGCTTTGCTTTTTTAATAACTGTTCTCCAAAGACCTGGAAACCCGTTCCAAGCAGTAACTAAAAACCTCCACCACCATTCCAGAACATGCATTTCCATCCCACCCAGTATTGAGTGGCAGTTTAAAATTCTCCCAAGGATCTCCAGGTGACACAAGGTGTTAGACCAGCAGTGTACCAAAGCCCACTCACTCGCACCAGGTCCTGAGAGCCAATCATTCATGTCTCTTCCCAACTCTGGCTTCAGGGATGGCTCACTGGTAGCTTGAGATCGGCCACGGTGGGAATATTTACACCACGGTAACTGGCAAATGCTGAAAACCAGGGCTTTCCCCCCAGATAGCCTATTGTTAAATATTTACCAGTATACCACTGATTTGGGACCCAGGAGATTTAATGTCCTCAATCTCTCTTCTTATGATGAGCTCAACCTGCCACTCAGCATTCCTGGAAGGATTTTTTTTCTAATCTAGAGAAGGGTCTCTCCTACATGGAGACAAATGAAGGTTCCAAACACAAGAAAATGTCCCGGGGGCTGCCCTTTTGGTTTAAAGAAATCCAATCAGAATGGAAAAATACCTAAAATCAAGATGATATAAAAGTTAAACGATGCATTTGGGTTTAAAGTAATAATGAGTAGACGTTGAAACTGGAGTGGGATTTGCTGGAAGAAGGGCCTATTGAAAAATTTCTGACACAATAACTATTTCTTTTCTACGATTCTGTCCTAATTTTCTCTCTGACTTCGAATTCACTTTCTGAGCAAGGAGGAGGCTGGCAGCAGAAGGCAATCATCAACACAGCAAATTCTCAACCCTCAAAGCAAGTCTGTGCCTTTTCTTGCAAAATAGGTATGGGGAGTATTTTTGGTTGTGATATGCAGTCTTTGGGGAATGAGGCCCTTGGTGGTGCGTGGATATGTGTATTTGTGTGTGTGTGTGTGTGTGTGTACATGCACAGGACATCTTGGTTAATTCTTGGAGCCATATGGTGTTTTCCTCTCTCACCAGTGAAGGCCTCGTTCAGGGCAAGAGGCTGCTGGAAGCACCTTGGAGAATTTTTTGCTCAAGCCACACTCTAGGAAAGGCACCATGGAAGGAGGGACGGCACCACAAACCATTAGAGGGCAAAGGGCTCTACTCCTGAGTCTACTGTCCTGTGGGGAAGTTCCATCACTACCTGCACTGCCTAGTGCTTGCATTTGGCCTGTGCCACTTGGGAGTGCACTGATTTCAGCATGCACCGTCTTTACGGTGAGATGGAGTTGGGGCTGGGGTGGGGCCTAGGGAACTTTTTAATTGGGAGAATGTGGGGGCTCTCAAGCTAACCAGTTCTCTTCAACTGCTGCCTTAATGATGCTCTGGTTTGGATTGAATTTTCCTCTTAAATTTGATTGAATCCAATTCTAATTGGATTGAACTTACTGCTTCTTGGGCTTCCTGCCAACCAGCGGGTACCTTCATTTCCTTCCCAAGGAGTTTTATGCTAGGGAAAAGCAGACAGATTGACAGCTCACAACGGAGAGGGAAGCTTTGCTCCTTCCCTGTTGGGGATGATCATAGAGAGATGCCATCCCCTCTCCTCCTAACCTTTTATCCCCTGTACCTGGTTAAGCCTCCGGGGCCTTAGTCTTGCTCCTGGAGACAGTAACCTCATATAGCATTTTTCTCCCTATGCAAATCAACTCCAAAAACTGTGTTTCAAGGCCTCCTCTCTTGACTGTCTTTCTGTCTACCTCCATTTGCACCCCTCTGGGGTGGGTTTGGAGTTGCAAGGGGCTGAACTTCATAGTCCCTTGTAAGGGCTCACTTCAGTTCTTTTAGGTGACTTTGCAGAGGGTTCAAGTTCTGGTTACAAAACACCTACCCATCCTTCTTTTGGAGTTGGGAGAAGAGGACTGGGACTCAACTGGAGCAGGGACAATTGGCCCAATCCTCTTTTACAGCATCAGCCCTACGGAATGAAGCTCACCATCTATACCCCGAGGCCTTTGGGGATCTAAAATAAACATCCAGGGGGAGAAATAGAACATGAGGTAGGCTGCTGATTCTGCCTGGCTTGAAGATAATTTTCCTCATAGAGGAGGGATGTGTTTTGGGAGTGTGAGAGGGATGGAGAAGGGCTTTAGTCAGATCTGGAGCATGGCTGCATCCCATGGAGTGTGAGGCATAGCCAGGCTTGAGGCTGGATGGAAGGTGAGCCAAGGTTTCCCTCGGCAGTCCCCACACAGGAAAGGATCTGTTGGTGGCAGTGCCTGGCTCTCTTTATCTCCTTACCTGGATGCCAGCCATGTTCCTGCTCTGGGGACTGAGCTAATGAAGACATGGAGCTCCAGCCTGACAGGCTGCACCAGGCCCAAGGACTACAGCCGACAAGACAATCAGTCACTGCTGTGGGATTTGTCATAAGACAGGACTGCGTCTCTCGCCAGCAATGGCCAACATGAAAAACGAGGGGTGGTGTGGAGAGCCGGGGGCCAGGGCTCAGCGGCGCAAAGCATGCACGGGGCGGTGGGTATGGAATCCAACCAACAGCCCGAGGCGTGCTAGGCCCTTCCATCATCGATACCGCCCAGGCTCCTTATTTGTGGATCCCACATCTACAAATGCGCCTACTCACTAAAATGTGTTTGTAACTCCAGAATCAATACTCGTGGCACTTTTAGTCACCTGTGGACATGTGCAGATGACAAAAACTCTACGTGTTCCCGCTGAGGCCAAACAAGGGGACATGCAGAGTTCTGCCTTCCCAATTCGGCCCTCACACTATGAGGTGTCCTTTTCACCGTCCACTTAGTGCCTCATTTTTGAGATTGTCTCATTTTTGTGCTTTTTGTTGGTGATTTTGCTGTTTAAAATGGCCCCAAGCATAATGCGGAAGTGCCGTCCAGTGTCACTATGCGCAGGAGGGCTACGACGTGCTGCACAGAGAAAACACGTGCATTAAGTAAGCTTCACGCAGGCGCGAGTTACACTGCTGGTGGCCACGCGTTTAATGTTAATGAATCAATCGTATATATGAAATAAAGTGTCTTTAAATAGAAACACACTTAAAACAAGGTTACGTATTGATTGGTTGACAAAACGTGAGCAGAGGCTCACAGGAAATAACTCTGTGGTTCCCCAGGACGAACGTCTCAGTGTTCACTACTTCAGGTTTGTGGTGACTTCATGGAACGTGACCACCATGAATAAGGGGCACTGAATGTGTACCTTGGACCATCTCTTCTGCTCCCACCCACAAGGCCCGTGTGTCCTGACGTTTCATTGCTTTCTTCTGGTCCCAGATACTGTGTCTTAACTGTGGGGCCGTGGTCCAGTGGTACTTCCTGGCTAGAAAATGCCTACCTCCAGGGGTTCTCTGCTTTTTGGGGACAAGACACGCCCAACTCCCAGTGGAAAAGGGATGGGATGACTACCTATGTAAGAAATCGTGGGCCTCTTGCCAACCGGAGGCGCACTTCCCAAGCCCTCTGTTTGCAATCGCTTAACAACAAGAAGTAACCGGAGTCCAGAGTCCAAAGGCTTCCACCTCATTACAGCTTTAAGGGCCATTTCAAGAATCTCATCATCACTGTTGTAGACTTTACTCTAGTCGGCTGGAGATTGGGCTTTCTGAGGGGAAGTAATCATAATCGGATTATTATCTATACAAGCACCAGCCCTATGTCTCCCATAGGGTTAATGTGAGGACCATCAGATAATGAAGTATTTAGAAAAAATCCTTTAATTATTCTATTCTTTATATTGACTCTATCTGGCCTCATCAGAAATAGGTGTTCTGGATGTGTGCATGCTCCAGATAGAAGAGGTCTCACCCTCTCAGGGCCAAAGTCTGAATTTCCATTAAAACATTTTTTTCTTTTTTACTTTTAGAGACAGGGTCTCACTCTGTCACCCAGGCTAGAGTACAGTGGCACGACTATGGCTCACGGCAGCCTCAAACTCCTGGACTCAAGTGATCCTCCCGCCTCAGCCTCCTGAATACCTGGGACTACAGGTGCTGCCACCACGCCCAGCTAATTAAAAAAATTTTTTTGTTTAGAGAGAAGGGGTCTCACTATGTTGCCCAAGATGATCTCAAACTCCTAGCTTCACATGATTCTCTTGCCTCAGCCTCCCAACGCTGGGATTATAGACATGAGCCGCCATGCACAGCCCTGAATTTCCACACTTTAAATGGAAGCTTTATGGAGTCATCTTCTCTACCTTCACGAGCAGAACATACCAAGCACCATTCAATCTTTCCTTAGTGACTGAAGGACATGATTTATGAGGATGAGTTACTGCGCTGGGCTATAAAATCCTATTATCCTTAATTGTTGGAATGTAGGGTTTCACACTCCTCCCAGTCCCAGAAGGCTCCAAGACTGCAGTGCTATTCAGTTAGTGGCTTCGCTCTCTTTCAAGGGCCATGAAGATCTGCAGGGCTGCCTGCCCCTCTGCTAAACAGCCCTGCCCTGCTGCAGACCTCTGGGTGGTTGCCTTTGCAGCTTCCTGCTGGGATTCTGTGTGCCTGCTGGCTGTTTCCCGCAGCCTGTGCTGATTGCTTCTGTGCCTGCCCGCTCACTCCTCTCACCCTTCCTACTGCAGCTTCTGCTCTTCCCCTCTCCACTTCTCGCCTGCCATTTAAAAGCATGGGATGGACCCGTCCCATGGATTTGGGGAGAGTACACCACAGAGGTCAGGAATAGAGGCCATGGATTCACATTGCTTGGGCTCCGCTCTGCATCCTGTATTTTTCACTTGCTGGAATTGAGGTCGTTTCGGCTACTAAGCCTCACTTTCCTTCTCTGTAGAATGGACACAGGAATAACCCCAGCTCACTGAGTTGCCATGGGCATTAACTGAGTGAATCTAGCAAAAGCGCCGAGCACAGAGCCTGACACAGAGAATGCTAGGGACTGTTAATGCTGTCACTGTGACAGTCAACTTCATGGAGCTGTGAGACCTTTTTGAATGCTTCTGGAAGTGTAGCTGAATCAGAAGTCTGATGAATAAGTGGGCGTTTGACTGCATGGTCGACTACATCTGCACCCAGTAAGTGGGTGGCTATTCTACGGTCCTGGCTAATCAAGACTGACTGGAAACCGTTGCCTCTGAGTGGTCAGTCAACAGAAGCCTGATGCCAGCTTTGGCACTGCATGGGGCAGGGGGAACCAATTCAGAATGGCCAGCCCTTGACACATAAGGAAAGGCCTCCTTAAACCAGAAAGGGGAGGTGCTCACCCATACACACCTCTTTGCTCTTCAGAGCAGACCCTTGGCCAAGGAAGCCTTGGCAGATGTTCTATCAGTGATTCGGGAGCTGCAAGGAGCAGATGGCAGCTCTCAGAACGGGTCAGGAAAGAAAGGTTGGGGAAGGTCCCCAGGAAAGACCAGCATATAGACTCAAAGACTCCTAAGTTCAGAGGTCAAATAGCCTTAATGTTCTTGTTCTGAGTCAACCAACATTTCTGAGTATTACTAAGCTTCAGGTTTGGGGTGAGGTGTCTAAACACACTCTAGCACATTTAGGCTGAGTCAGCCAAGATATGGCCTTCGAAGTGGCTTTTTCTCCAACATCAGCAGCTTCTGTCACTTGACTTCACTGCTTTGATTCCACCAGGAAGATTACTCCTCTGGGGGGCCAAGAGTGACTGTGGACAGACGTTCTGCTCAGGGAGGACCCTCAGGGTCCAGCCCTCATTCTCCACTTCAGGCTCTTGGCGGGGGGGTTACTTGCTCAGATTTGGTTCCCAATCTCCAGGGGAAGAAAGTGAAGTTACATTCATTTAAAAGTCTTGAGCTGTGGCTTGTGTTGCAGTTCAAGCTCATTCATCGTAGATCACATGGGAGGCGGTGCCTGAGTGCTGGCTCTGGTTCTGTTGCTTACCAGGGAAGTGACGTTGTACAAGTCGCTTAACATCTCTGGGCTCACGTTCCTCATCTTTACGAGGAAAAGCATTTCTAACATTTGATGATTCTGTAATTCCAGTTATAACAGGCACCAAGTAAATAATAACCATTGTAATGATAGCACCATTATTGGGCCCTTACTATATACCACTGTGTTAAGTATTCTGAAAATGATCTTATCCTATCATCACAGCCACCTATGCACCGGAATTATCATCTTCCCTTTTTCGGATGGGAAATCTAAGATTTAAAAAGGTCAAACCACCCAACATTATGCACCCAGCCAGGGCAGAGCTGGGATGCCTCAATTTCTGCTTTGATTCAGGGTGATGAGGTTGATGTTTTCAATCCTTTTCTTGGAGATTCACAAATAAACACAGGGGCATTTTCTTGTGTTTGAACATGACACCAAAAACCTCTCTGCCTTCCAGGCAATGAATCCGAGACTTACGTTGTTCTGCTCATCACTGATATCCCTGATGGAAGGCACTAGTCTCCTGTGTGGCCTCACCTTGGAAAAAGGCATTTTGTCATCAAGGTCTCTATCGGGCCACTCTCCATGGGAGGCGGAAGGGCTGGGAGGAGACTGTTTCCTCTACGCAGCTCTGAAGGCCAAGCCCACTGCTCCGCACTGCATTAGGGCAGCTGTAGGAGCTGGGAGTAGCTGTTCCCAGCTTATGCACTGGGGAAAAGTGGGGAGCAATCGTTCTCTTTATACCTAAATTTCTCCCAGCATTAACCTCTCTAGATATTTAGGAAAGACTGCAAAGCAGCTGACCAGTCTCAAGCAGAGTAGAAGTAGATTAACCCCCTCCCCCAAGTGGCAAAGGCAGCAGAGTGGTCACCCATGAGCCGGTCACCAGGAGCATTTAGGTGTTAGGCCTTGGCATGGCTGGTGTGGACTTCTGAAGAAGAAAGTGGGCTGAGGAAATATCTCAGGCGTTTCCATGATGAAAAGCTCCTTGACCTTCCAACCACATGCTACTTCTACCATGCGCTCTCGCTATGTTGCCCAGGCTGCAGTGCAGTGGCATGATCATAGCTCACCATGGCCTTGAACTCCTGGGCTCAAGTGATCCCCCCGCCTCGGCCGTCTGAGTAGCTGGGACTACAGGTGTGCACCACCATGCCCAGCTACTTCTACCACTTCCAATTTCATGTGAGCAAGGGCTGAAATTAGGTAGATGTGATACTTGCAGCCGACTAAAGTTAGAAGAAAGTGTACCCTATCTCTTCTATTCTTAAATAATCTATGACTTCAAACAGTTAAGGTTCCTTTCCGTTCAGAAAAGGAAAGTCAGAGATAGACTGCTCAGTCTATGAATTAAAACGGAAGAGAATTAGATGTTGAGTCTGTCTTTGTTTATGTTTTAAACCAGTCTCTTCTTACCCAGGCCTGTTCACCAGAGGCCATGAAGGCACAAGGAGAAGGGCCCTGCCTGCCTGGACAGCTGCCTGAGGCTGGGAGGGGCTGGCTGGACCCAGTTTTTGTGGTGAAGCCAGCTCTCCTCCACTGTCCACCACCGAGACCAGTGGCCCATCTGACCCTTTACCCAGCCAGGACAAGGACATCCACTTCAAGGCTCCTGTGGTGACCCCTTATCCCAGGTTCATCAGAGCCAGAAGAAGAACACAGCCAGGAATAGCAGAAAGAATAAATAAAAATAAATGGAAAAATCAAGACCTTTTTCCTTGGTCCTGCTTACCCGCTAAGCACACCGAGAACCAAGTTAAGTACAAAAAATGACCCTATGATGATTAGTGTAACAAAATAGATCCAGGGCCAGTCCCTTCCTACGGCATCATTGACCTGGAAGAACGGAATGATAGTTAGTGAGGCACACTCAGCAACCGAGCACGGCCAGTGCCGGTCCCCGGCTCCCGGGACACTGACCCACGCAGCGCCGGGACCCGGGGACCCTCTAGGTGCAAATCAGAGGCCAAACAGCCTGCCTGGCCAATGGGTCAGAATTTGTGATTGAACGGAGACTTTGTTGTGGTTTTCCTGGGCCTGTCAGGGTCCCGTCCCTGAGGACCCCGGGCATGTATGGAGTGGAACCTGAGACCTTGCTCGGCTGCGTTGTGGAGAGGACATAGAAACGGTCAGCTTACCCGCTCAACACACCGAGAACCAGATTTAGAACGAAAAAGGATCCAAAGATGACCAGACTGACAAAATACACCCAGGGTAACTCATAGCCCATAGCGTCCTGCATCTGGAAAGACGAAGGAAAGTTAGGAAAGAAGCAGCAGAATTACAGAATTAGCAGGGTTACAGCAAAGAGGCAGGCAGCAGGTGTGAGCAGATCGGGAGGAGACAGACGGGGCTGAACGTGGGCTTTGTTCATGTGCCCCAGGATACCCATGTTACCCGGGCATCACCCATGTTCAAAGGACCTCCCGTGACCGAAGGGGACCTCGGCCGGCTCTGCCTCAAGAGGAATCACTCTATCTCTCTGTGGTTTTATTTTCTGAAAATGAAACATTTCTCCAATGTTTTCTATTCACTTGTCTGGGAAAATGGGTCATCGCAAAAATTAACTTCTTCAGCTGGTTTTAGCTCACTTGGGTTTGCGTGGACATAAGCCTTTCATTGCCCCGGGAGGCCCCTGACCTTGGTGTATGAAGTGCGTCAGCTCCTCAACTGACAGGCCTGGAGAACCAAAACCTCAGAGGAGGTGTGAGGAAAGATAACCTTCCTCGAGGGCTTGCCACCTGGACCATGGGCCAAGCCCAGAAGTTAGGGGCCAAACCCGAGTGCTTCACACATACTGCGGGCCACCGGCTGGGAGAGGCAATCATTTTAGTTTATGTATTCAGAGGAAGGTCCTGTGACTGCAACCACAGCTTAGATGGATATGGTCCTTAATGTGGGAACTGACTGTAACTAACACCCTGAAAGGTCACAAACCCTTACAGCAGCCGGAGGCAGTGGTGCGCTGGAGCTGGCTCCTGGGGGCTGTGGGGAGCTCACCGTGCACATCTCTTCCCAGCTCCGTGTGCAGCGACCACACTAGTGGCTTGAAACTGACCGTGGTGGGAGTATTTACACCACAGAGATAGGCAAGCAATAAATCAGCCCTCTGTACCCGCTATCTCTAAGAGATGCTTAAACATTTATTAGCTCACCACTGGCTGGAGGGGGGATGTGCAGATACATTGCAGAGCTATGCTTCCATCAGAGGAAATTTATTCTGATTTAGTTTCCCAAATCTCTCTCTCCTGATGCTTTCTGACTACACAGGGTTAAGTTCTGGCTTCCTAAAAATGAACCCCACTTTGTCCTTGTGATTAGCTCATAGAAACCCAAACTTCCAAGGCACACAGGCATCCTGAATGAGTCACATCAATGGATCTCAAAGTGTGGCCCACGGATGAACAGCCTCAGCGTCATCCGGGAACCCGTTCAGAAATGCATATACCTAGACCTCACCCTGACACTGTGGGGGAGGCCCAGCAACCCGCATTTTGACAGGCCCTGCAGGTGATTCTGATGCACGCCTGAGCACCACTGACCACACTGTTCTCTCTATAGCTCCAAACTTCAAAAGCAACAACACAAGTGTTGTGGCTCATCATGTACCTCCACAAGGTTGCATAGCAATGTTCCTCCAAGTGTGGTCCGAGGACCACCAGCATTAGAAACATCTGGGAGAGTTATTAACAAAGCAGATTCCTGCCCCACGGCCCCAAGGTCTCAGAGTGGCCCACAGTCTGCCTATTAACCTCCCCAGGTGATTCTAGGCTGTACTCAAGTTAGATAACCACCCCATGGTTTCCACCCAGGGGTCTCAAAGGAGTTCAGGCAGGTGGGATATTAATGCCCTCAGCCCTTGGGCTTCGCAGCTTCAGCAGCCGCTTGCATTTGCCTAAGTACGCTGGATAAATATGTTCTCTGCATGCAGGGAACAGAAGACTGAGAAGTACCGAGACACCTAGCTAGTTGACTGGTATGAAGTGTGACATCCCAGTATGTTCTTTACGGATCCGTTCATATGTATCTGATATTACTAAATTTTGGTTAGGAAAATTCACCCAACGTAGTCATTGTGCATAGTGCAAACATCGCATCTGGGGGTCTCTGAGGGACCCCCGTGTTCATGGGGAGAGAAGATGCCCAGCATGTGCCCACTTGGCCGTGCTGTTGCGAAATTCAATCGAACGTGGGTTTACTGAGCGTGCTCATGTTCCCGCGTCTGGTCTGCTTTCCCAGAGCGCTTCCCACTTGGTATCATTACCTTTTTATTACGTTTATTATTTGCTGCTTGTCTTCCATGCTAGAATGTGAGCTCCCCGAGGACAGGTGGTTCTGGCCTGCTTTGTTCACGGGTCTACCCCAGGTGCCTACAAGCGTGCCTTGCACATGCTAGGTCCTCAGCTAATGCTCTTTGAGTGAATGAGTGAACTTGATATGTGCTAGGCACTGTGCTGGAAACACAAAATCCTTGCTAGAGGGGAGACAGGAAATGACCAGGCAGCTACAGTGCAGGCTGGCAGCTGCAACTGCAGGAGGAAGCGTGCAGGGTCCCAGAAGGCTTCCACCAGTGGAAGAGCGGCTGTGTGAGGCTGAGCGGGGCAAGGGCCAGGCTCAGCAGGCCTGTGTCAACCTTGCACTGCACAGCCACTGAAGGCAATGGAAACAAAGGGCAGGAAGGAAGCCCCAGGGTCCATGTGGTCCTATGATAGCAACGGAGGTTTGCAGAAGTTGGCAATTGTTAAAAACAGAGCCTATGGCTGTAAAGCCATCCTGGCTGCAGGATGGAGGATTCTCCCAGTGGCTGAACCACTAAAATACCCAGCAAAACAGCAGTTGTTAGGAGAGGCAGGGTGAAGGGTCCTTGTGTCTCAGACCCTGTCCCCATCCCAGGGAGCCTGGGAGCTTTCCTGTAGCCAGAAGGTAACTGTCTGAACCAAGAGTGCAAAGGAAACCACGCCAGACTTCATCACCAGGAGAAGAAAAACAAACCCGAGCCAATAGAGGATGGGGTGGGACTGGTGACACGAGATTAGGGAGAGAAAGGCAGGAGAGCCCCAAGAGCTGCCTGACCACAGACCACACCGACAGCCTTGCTGGCCATGATGGGCTGTGGGCTGCAGGTCCCATTTGACCATGGGAACTGTGAGGTCATTCTTTGATTATTCTTAGCAGCGGTCACATCAGAGTCCACATTTGTTCAAGTATTTACTGAGCACTTCCCCGTGTAAGGATTCTGTTGTGTATTGGACTCTCTGCTACAGCGAGAGCAATGGGGTTGAGACAGCCCTGGAATGGGAGTCCCAGGCACCTGCCGAGGAAGAGGGAAACCTGGATCCAAGGTCATGGGGAGCCTGTGGGTGTCCTTGTAGCTTTTCCTCTCTCAGAGTAAATCCTGCTAAGGAGAGTCAGAAGCAGTCCCATTCTTTTCCTGTAAATGACTACTGCTTTACTTTTTTGAAAGGGTGGGGTGGTCAGGAAAAGCTTTTAAGAACTATGGACTCCCACCAGAAGTAATGCACACTGCACACACACAGCATCCTGCAGACAGTCTCGAGGGCACACGGGCACCCCGAAGCCGGTGCAGGACCCCGTGGTAGGGACCCACTCCAAACGACTGGCCTGTTCTGTTCAACCCCGGAGGAGCTTTCCCCAAGTGTGCTTCAGGGGATGGGGAGTGGCAGAGGAGGTCTGTTCTTGGCAAGCTCCCTTTGCTCCTCTCTGGATAATAGACCCCACCTTCTTCAGGACACGTGGGAGCAGCCAGTTCCAGGAGGCCACAGCATGCTCACCACGGTTCCCCTCCCAAAGCTGCCTCTGGAGCCTGGGCAGATGGCAAGTGGGAGTTGGGCTTGATGGCGCCCAGGCAACTTCCTCAAAATGAAATCTTTCCTCACTGGTTCCTCACACCCCTTACATTTTGTGAACATTTAACCTCATGAAAATGCAGCCTTGGAGGCCACACAAAACCACGAGCCTTGGAGATTTCCTAGGGCCCGAGCTTAGTCTGGAAATCCTTTCCTCTGTGCCACACACAAGGTGAGAGGCTTCCAGCATATGAAGGACTTCAAAGCGGGGGCTACAGACCTCAAGGTCATAGCCCCACAGACAGCCAGGGCCATAAGAGGAAACCCATGTGTCCCCCTTGCCGTCCCACACTTCTGCTTTGGTCCCTCCTGGGCTGTGGGCTGGTTTTTTAGAGCTTCGAGATGGGGAACAGCAGGGGAAGGCAGGAGGCAGGAGGACAGAAAAGACATGGAGATGGATGAGGCCAGTGTGGTCCTCAGAACCCCACCGCCTGGGTGAGCAATGCTCGGCCGCCACAGAAGGTGATTCTCTGACCTGCCTGGCTCTGGTCTGAAAGGAAAGTTCTCCTTTTGTTTCCCTTTTACTTTCTCCTCTTTATTCTGGGCCACCTACTTTGGGGGGCTGGCTGAGTAGAGAGCACACAAAGCTGGGTGGCTCTGAAGTAGGGCGACGCCTGGAGTCATGAGATTGATGTCCTAAAGCAGCTGAAATAGAGCTATTAAGAAGACAAAGAATAAAGTCAGATTTTTTATAAAAAAGTGACCCAGATTGCTGACACCCTTATTTAGAGGTGAAATAAAGGACAGGTCTTCTAGAGCCATTAGGCCATGTTCCTCGGGTCTCCTGACTTTCCGAAGGAAAGTCAGTTCATTGTCTGTAGCCTTGAGTGCCTCCAGGCCCAAGTACTGGCAGGACAGCCCCTGCCTTGGCCAAAACAGCCTCACTACAAAGGGAGGGGCATTGAATGAAAACTACTACCAAAGACCCTTCGGAAACCAGCATCTAATTCCTTGAAGGGAACCCCAGAT